AAGGGCTCTTGGAAAAGAGAGAGTTGTTACTGTCTTTTTATTTGGTAGTTACTCTTTATGGAAACTAGTCGGAAGTTGCAGAAGGTAACAAATTTGTTTCGCTATACTTCCGTCTATCTTACCGAAATGAATTTTTATTTGGCAAAATAAATGCTGATTCTAATTGGTTTTTATTAATATTACAATAACTGAAGTACTTTATTTCCAGTTTATTAGAGCAATACTTTGCCTTATTTCAAGATCCAATGACAGGTAATATCATAAAATCTTTTCTTTTATCATCCAACAAATATTTTAATTGCAGGAGTGTGTGACGGATTATTTATCGATTCATCAGTCACTTTCATCCGTATCGTTCAGAGATACAAAACACTGATTCATCTCAATTGATATGTCCTATTGATTGGAAAATTTCTGAAATGTGAACGCGAACGCTAATTCGTTTTGGTGAAGTTGGTTGGTTGGTTGAAAGAGAGGAAAGATGTACGAATATAATGCATAACAGGAATAGCCAGAAGGTTTGCTTCAAGAGACATCATCTACACATAACATGCGGACACACTTAACCATATCACAAAGAGCATGCACTGTGTACAATATATGAAAAAAACACGGCCAGCATCAATCACATTTTCCATTAATGACGTGTAGATGACAGAGAGAGAACTAAATACATAATACACACATAGAGAAATGTTATGAACTTTGTTGTCATGTTGAAGCAGCGCGCTATATTTTACAGGTAGTGGCAACAATGATGGTTCGTTGTTGATATTGGCGTTCTTGATGACATTAATAATGCTCATTTTCTAAGTTTTTTTTTCGCTCCTTTTTTTTCAATCATTTTCAGTAGAATTATTCAGATTTTAAATAAATTTTCCGGATATTTAGTCATTTAAAAAAAATTCTACCATTACATTTTTCTAATTGTATTTCCGCTAACGTCGTAGTACCCATAAAATACATAGTATCGAGTGATCACAGGTATCGTTATAGGTCACTTTTTGTCTTTTAATATATGTCATATTTTTTCTAATTCCTCATTACTTATAGTAGTGAAATTTGCAAAGATATAAATCTCAAAAAATTCGGCAACTTCATGCTATCAAAACGAAGGAAGTTCCATTTGCTTGGTTTTCCACGAAGTTTTTCTTTTTGTGCCCACAATTATTTTTCTGGTTTGTCTACTTCAATTTGTAGACTTTAAAGAAAATCCTAATTTAGAAAGGGAATATAAAATTGATGAAGCTTTAAAATATCATTAATTCATATCCTTGAATCCGATTTTAACACTCTCTCCTGAATTTTGTTTCCTGTCGTTGAAAATGCCGGTTTTCAAAGGACTTTTGATTTGCCATTCCTACTTTTCTTTGCTTCCTTAATCATTTATTCTTCATTTTAAACTTTTATCACCACAATCCGTATCGAGATTGGAAGGGACTGTATTTTTATTATAGAATGTAACAATGAGATGATCAAAAGATGTTGAAAGTTGTTCATTGCATAATATATTTGATCCTTTCATGAGATTTCTTTATTTTTCCTGCTTTACCTTTCCCTCTCATCGCCCACTTTTGCTATATGTTCATTTCCAAGGACAAATAGCTCATTTTCTAGTTCAAAATTTGAATTTTACTGCTCCATCTTTTGGAGACTCTTACTGTCTTAATGTCTAAATTCCTTAATAAGACATGAAATAAATACCATAAGATTTATTTTTCTTATTTTTTTCTAACTGAGTGATGTTAAAGAGGGAAAGAGAGCATGTAAGCGCAAGCTTTAATATAACTGATTTTTAATATGTCCGCATTTTCTTCATTTCCTTCTCCAGATCTTTTTGATTTAATTGATTATCTTAACGATTATCTTAAGTAGGTTTAATCAATCTTCAGTTATTCTTCATCTGCTGGCTTAGTACGCGTTACGACATGTGTATTATGTCCATGGAAATTTGCGAATGGAATTGGTTGATTCACGATTGTGATAGATAATTTCTGGATTTTCTTTTTTTTTTTGATTTATTGCAGTTTTCGCTGCAATTTTTCGGACCAGAGAAAATGTCAATTTATTGCAGTTGGCTCCACATTAGCCGTAGTTTCGGTTTAATATTTGCAATGTTGACACCATTATTTTGCTTGTCGTCAAACCTGTTGAATGAGAAGGATAATGAGTTCATTATGATTTTAGGAAACAGTTGTTTGAAAAATAAAAGGATGTGAGATGTATTGAATTTCTGAGGTTAGCTATCCTTCCAAAGTTACTAATATCTTTGAATTTGATGGACATGTTTTCATCTTAGGAATGTTAGATAAAAAATGTTGCACTGTTTTACTATAACTGCCTCGCTAATAATATTCTGATTTGTTCCTAATAGTAGAGATCATGTGGCTGATAGCGAATTGATTATTTTTCTTCAACTAAGTGATAATAATGCACAAATATTTTTAAAGTTGTTCGAAGTTCGAATAACCGTTATAGATAGTAGTATTGCTAGATTCGAGCTAACATTTTAATTAATTTGCACAGCAATTTTTTTGCTTTTAATACTTTTATTGAACCAGTTAAATTCAATGTGTTGTTTTTTTTTTTTTTTTTTTGTAAGAAATAGAGGATATATGCGTAATGTTAAAAAAAAAAAAAACATTGAAAAAAATGGATAGCCATGCTGTTTGTTGTAATTCAGTCGCGATAATTTGATTTTCTGACATTTATTTCAAATAAAAGACGAAAAAAAAACCTACTAAGAAATAGGGGAAAGAAATGAAGACGGTTTGAAAAATCTATTTATTCTTTTATCATAAACTATATAAATTGCTTTTCATCGTTATTTGTGAAGATCGGCTCATAATTAGTTGAATGATGGATAAATAAGTTTTTTTCCCCTCGATTTCTTAGAATAAGGATTTTAGAATTTTTTGGAATTTTAGAATTTTCTTAGGATTTTAGAATTTTTTAAATTTTGTAGACGAGCAAATTTCATAATAATTCTAAAATTCTAAAATCTAAAATTTTGTTTCTCATTTTTTTAAAGCTTAACAGGTATTATTATGTAACATGTGATTACATCAACCTTAATGAATGTCTTTCATAAATAATACTACAACGGATTAACTAATTATGTATGGATGAAGAGTTTTACTACACAGGTGCAAGAGATTTTCTTTTTTCTCTTACTGCTGTCAAAGGATAGCTAAATAAAGAGAATACATTAATGCTTTATCGAAGGAAGAATGCATTCTAACGAATGTCTGGAAGTTGATCCCTGCTTACCTGGTTTTAATTATTTTCCCTTGTTGTTAGGCTATGAGGGAGTTTCATAAAGGTAATAAGTATGAGATGCTGCTATACAAGTCTGGTTTAGTAGTTCATTTATTATGCAATTCAGGTTTGAAGTAGATTTATTAATGCTTTTAATTCTGCTACCAATTCGTAGCTGAGGGGGTAGATTAAGATAAATGGGCAGATGGATTGGTTGGGCTAATGCTTGCTTGGTTACGTTTTCCGTCTAATTTTCTTATTCACTGAATGTATAAGCAGTTTTGCTGATATAAATCGGTTGTCATTATAATTTATTGATTTAAAAGATGTAAATCTCCGTAAAATAAAAAGTCTATTCATTTAAATTTTTCACATAAGAATTCACAAGAATGGCCAATCCTACCATCCTCTAATTCTTCCATTTATTCAGCTTTCAAAACTAGTTTCAGGACTTTCCATGATAGCACTAAGGCTCTTAAGAATTGTTTCCATTTAAGAAGAGAAGGGGTAAGTGTTGCAGAAATGAAAGGGTCACATTATGTTTTTGATATTCTTTTTCGGAAAAATTTAGGATTAAACAAAATTTAATCTTTTTTCAAAAAGAAATTTGACGATCCACGCTGTTTCAGAATTTGCTACTTCTTCCTAATATTTCAAAATGATTCTTTTGTATTTTTCGGAAATTCAGTGCATTTTCCGCAGTTTGGAGAATATACAGTTATAATCTTTGGACAGGATGTAATGGACAATATTCATCTCGTCTTTTATTTTCCTTCTAGGATTAATTATTTCAGTACATATTCGTTGATTAAGAAGACATTGAATCTTGTGCTAATTTTAAATTTAAATGGAAGGAATTAGTAGGGAGAGAGGAGATGATTTATTGTCTCAGTTGAACGTGATTGGCAAAAATGCCTTTGTAGAATAGTGGAAGAGCAAGAGCAAAGGAAAGGAATGTTAATATCTATTTATTGCTGTAATTACTTCATTCGTTTTACCTGGCAGCAAAATATTCATGATTTCGAGATTTCTATAAATACATGCAATCATCAGCGGTTCAAATTAAATAGTGTTTAGATGGGGATTATTCGTTCTCTGACCTTCTGGAACTCTTTTTATGTCATCAGATTGAAATTATGGTGATCTGTTGTGTGTAGGAATTAAGAAGGTCAATCATTGCTGATTACTTATTAATTAATAATCTGCAATGTCAAAATTAGAACTTTCCCATATGTAAAATTCCTGTATTTTTTCTTTCAATTTGGAGAAATATGTACATTGTTAAATGTTGTTGAAATGCTTCTGTGGCAATTTCTTTATGTCGTATCGTTAAGTTTTGGAACTTGAAGTCTTTAATTCCAAAGCGATCCTTTTTTTTGCAGAGAATATCAGCACTGGCCAATATTGTGCAACGATTCGGTAGCCGAGTTCGTGAAGCCTTGGCGACGGCCTCTGAGGCTATTTCAAACGCCGTTGTCGATAATGATCCCATCACGGTCTGCGTTTTATTGTTTTTTGTTTTCGTTACAAAAGAAAATTTCGCCTCAACCTTTTGTTCTAATTCATCAGGCTTTGACAACGGTTACATATATGAATAAATGAAATGAAACACAATCTGAGTTGCTTGCATGGTGGTCGGATTTCCTTCCAGTAGTTGCAATTCGATCTAGAGATTTTCAAGAAGGAAATTTGAAACCGCAAGACCAAGTTTTTCTCCAATTATTTATTTTTTTGTTTATTTATCCTTTTATTTAAAATGTATCATCCCCATCCTCCACTTTTTTTTCATTTCTATTTCGGAAGTACAAAATCATCATAGCAGTATTATGCGAAGTTCTCATGGAATTTTAAAAATTTTTTGTACCTTTTTTCAGTGTTTCATATCATTTCCTTGTACTTCCCTTTTATTCTTATTCCCCTTCCACCTTTTTACGTCTTTTTTATGTTTCTTGATTCTTTCTAAAACAAAAAAAAAAAATCCTTCTGTTTTAATAACAACATCAGTGTAATGCGTCAGTTCAGTGTTGTTCAGACACCCGTGGAATCCATGTCTCGTTTTATCAAGGATATGAATGAGAAGGGTATGGCAGGCCTGGCCTCAGAATATCGTAAAATTGACATGGAAGATGCACCATTCGGCTCTCACAAAGCGTTCTTAATGAATATGTCTAAAAATCGTTATTCTGGTAAGTTTTCATCATGAGCTTTTTTTTTCTCACATACTTGATTTTTATATGCAATTTTGGTTGTGGTCTTGTGAAGCTTTTTGTAAGAATATAGTGTTTTTTAATTTAATTTTCCATGCTTAACTTAGCTGAAATAATAGTCTCGGATTTTTGTTGGAGAAAATTTTTCTTGTCGCTATGTAGCTTTAAAGTTTGTGTTGTGAAACAGATAATTGCAGATGTACTATGTGTTGATGAAACGCGAGTAGTTTTGAAAATTGGATCAGCCGCAAGTGGTGATTATATTCATGCAAATTATGTGCTGTTTTCCGAATTGCAAAACAAATTTATCTGTACTCAGGTTTTTTTTTTTTTTTGGTTCCTTAATGTTATTATTTTTAAAATGCCCTGTTTTCCTGCAGTACTTATACATAGCAAACGACTGTTTTACTACGTTGTTTTCATCATCATTCAGAACAAGAATGTTTCAGGGTCCTTTACAAACAACTAGAGATGATTTCTGGCGAATGGTATTTCAGGAACGTGCTGAAACAATTCTGATGCTTTGCAGGTTTGTTATCTCTTATTTATGTGTTAATGACAATTATGAAGGCAATGATGTGCTATAGTGATTGTGGTGTTATCCGTTGAACTGTAGACAGGATATATATGAGGACTACTACACTGTTTCTTGTACCCTGAGATATGGTCTAGTAAACTAATAGTAATTGTTACTATTAAATTGTAAACAGTACTTGTTTTGTACTACTCATTACTACTCATTCAATGAGCAGTTTTGCTACTTATCTATATGTTTTGAAAAAATTTTTTTCAATTCCATGATTCTGAAAACAATTTGTTCTTATAAGTTTTTGATAAATTTTATTTTTTTTTTCAGACCATCTGAAGATGGTAAACCGAAATGTGCGGTGTACTGGCCGGAGAATGGCGATAAATTGGAACTTAGCACGGTAGATGTTGAGAAAGTTGGTGAGGAAAACTCTGATTTCGAGATTCTACTTTTCAAAGTACAGCTCAAAGATGAATTCAAGCAGTCGCCCTCTGTAAGCAACAAGGATCCACTAGTAGTGAAACAATATCGATGGAGCACGTAAATAATTTCTATCATTTATTTCGGATAAGAATAGGCTAAATGAACAATATTAATGAAAAGAAAGTATATTTTTGATTCCTCAATAGAAGGTAGTGTTGCATTTTTCTTTTTTCTTCTTTGTTTTTTTTTTGAATTGCTCTAAAATCTATTTACTGCTCTGTCAGGTGGCCTGATCGTGGAATTCCAAGTCATGAGAATGCGATGATCCCTTTGAAGTTGTTATCATTGGTAAGGAACACTGGAGCACCATGTGTTGTGCATTGTTCTGCTGGGATCGGACGAACTGGTACCGTTGTGGCTATTGAACTAGGTATCAGGCGGTTTCACGATGGCCGCAAACTTGATCTGGCAATGGTAAACTATAAATATACATATATATTTTTCTTTTACCCTAAAATTTATTAGAAATGCATACAAAATTTCAAGTTTTTGGTACCTACATTAATTTTTTGGATCATAATAGAAAAATCAGATAAATGAAGCTAAGAAGCGAAAACTGTTTTCAGCTTGTTAAAGATCTCAGAAAGAAACGGGCACAATGTATACAAACCGAAATTCAGTATTTGTATTTAAGTCGTGTGTTAACCGAATATGCTTTGAGTTCCGGTGAACCACTGTCTGATGATGTGCGTCGTGCAGCAGAATCATTTCTCAAAGAATATGATTCTAAAATTAAGAAATAACGCTATTTAAGGTTTGGTTTGAAATTTATAATCATGTGGGAATGAAGGGAAACACCTGAAAACTTTTAATTTTTCAAAAGCTTATGGATGCTCGCCTTGAATGTGAATTTCGACTGATGAAACCTTACACAGTTATTGCTTACACTGTCTTTAACTGTTATTGTCGATATTTTATCAGTTACTTATCACTCCGTTGTCAGTTAAATTCTTAAGTTGCCATTGAAAGAGCCACACAAAGTCTGTAACTTTTATATTGATTTAAAGTGGAAGAATATAATACTCAGGCTATGAAATTACCCAAAAGCTTTAAGTTATCTGAAATTATGAAGTATGTTTACTTATTCGTATTAGCAACTCTTTATATACTCCAAAGTGTTTTTGTGTGTAAAGTTGTTGTTTTCATTTTTCTTTCAATTTCCAAATTTATATATCGCGCAATAAAGCTTGTGAATTTTGTATTTTTGCAATAAAGTGATGATACAAAAGTCTTCGAGAAGATCGTATAATACTTTATCGCAGTGTGTTCGGTATTGTATTCAATATTATACCTTTTTTCAAATTTTAATTCAGCTAAATTCAATTTGTTCCAGTTGACTTGTTGGTTTTCTATGTGTTTGAAACTGAAACCCAGATGAAATAGTTATTGAAAATGTGCATGATTCTAATCTGACGATATCACAATGTGTCTCCTGATTTCTAACTCTTCTATTAACTTGGAATATTAGAATGAAGGATCAGATGCTGTTTTGATTTGAGGTGTGCCACTGTTTCCCTAAATTGGTTTAATAATGATTACACTTTGAAATTTAAACTGATTCATTGAGCGACTTTATCAGGAGAAATTTCCAGCGCTGCAAATATTGGTTACTTTATTAATATATGTTATATATTTGTTAAAATAATATTACTTTCTTAAAACATATGCCTGACTTAGATTCTCATTACCTGTTATAAGTGGGCTTTTTAATGACAGCAAATAATGCAAAAATTTAAATGGCGTAAATTTATTGGTTGGTTGGTTATTAGGCCCTGAAGCATTAAATGCGGTTACTAGTAAACTTTCTAAAATCTAGGAGTCAGTAAATTATTAATCATGATAGACTCTTGGTAAATAATTCATGAATCACTAATATTAAAATCAATAAAAAGTTTATTGTTTTCTCAAACACAGGTTTTAAACTTTTATTAACTTACATCTTTAGGTTAAATGGAGAAGTGTCATAATTTATTTGATAGGAGAATGACAATGTACAAATGTAACAAGGAGCAGTGAAGTGAAATAAATAAACTTGATGGAAGTTCCTTTTCATATTAAAATTTGATTTTAAGACACTGATGTCAAAATAAACAAGTTTCGACATCAGTTTAAAAAATATGCTTGTTTATATCTTTTTACTCTTTATTTGCTTTCAGATTTTGAACAGATGAGCTGGACAATAGATGGGGATATGTGATATAATTTCTCGGATTTTTTTTTAAAATTTCCAACAATTCCGTATGCTTTGCGATCTTCTTTTGAAATTATAAATGGGCAGTCATTGGAATTTAAGGTGATAGATTCAATTTTAAGAAGCTTCACGTTTACAATAGGATTACATTCATTATGATAAGAAGATACGTTTTGACGTAGTAAACCAACGAAATAATTATCAGTTTCTGGCAAAAAAGTATTTAATAAATAGGGGGTAGGGCACCTTGTTTTTTTTTTTTTTTGTCAGAATTCAACCGTACAACATTGTAAATCTCAAGGGGTAATAAATGAAAAATCAAGGAAGTGAAAGTTAAATGATGTAAAAAATAAGTTAAAAGTAGAAAGTTTAGTT